ATCTTTCACATTTAAACACCCTCTCATCCATCCCATTTTTATTCTCATTCGATTTCGCAGCGTTATTAATTCGCACGATTTAGTTTCTTCTTTGGTAGATGGGGGAGGGGATGATAGGGGGTAAAACTGGTAGACTATGAGTTGCATACACACACACACACACACAACTCACTATCATTCCCCATATCATTCCCATATCAACTATCTTTTTATTATTCTTATTTTTTTCTTTTTTACATTTGATTTGTTTCTTTTTCTTTTTTTTTTTTTTGGGATTGGGGGATGTCAAATTTCTTTATTTTTCCGTCTACGATCGTAAACAACAAACAGAAAAAGAAACAACAATTTTTCGCATTTAAACACCCTCTCATCCACCCCCATTTTTATTCTCATTCGATTTCGCGGCGTTATTAATTCGCACGATTTAGTTTCTTCTTTGGTAGATGGTTGGGAGGGGGGATGATAGGGGGTAAAACTGGTACAAGGTTAACAACGATAGGCGGAAGTGCAAGGTCAACGTTGATTAAGAGTCCGTCGGCACGTCATACAATTTCGAAATCCATGCTGCGATATACTCGTCTACCATCCTCCTCCTCCTTTCCCCTTCTAACCCCCTCTCTATCTTTTTATTTCATTTTTTTCGAGATAGAAAAAATAGAGTGAGTGAGAAAGGGTTCACCAACACAATATTGATCGGTCAAATAAAAAAAAAAAATGGAATCAACGCGTTGGAATTCAAATTCAATTCTCTCTTGTTCTCCCCCTCCACCCCGACCCCCGACCCCCACCTCATTTTCTCTTTTTCTAATATTTCAATATGTTTCAATATATTATAGTTTTCCTTTATCATACCATTTTCCATTACCTTTTTCATTTTTCATTTTTATTTTTATTTTTTTTGTTAGAGCTGGAAACATTTGTTGTTCATTGTTGAAAACAATCTTCGAGAAAGAAGTAAATGTTATTTACTTTAGAATGTTATATGGAATACATTTTGCGTAATAGTAAATAAGAATAGACAGTATATTTACTTGTAGGTACTGTAAAGAAGATATAAATTGATTTATTGGTCGAAGAAATGAAAGAAGATAATATATTGTTTTCGGTTTTGAGTATACTTTGAAAGTATAGAAGAGGGATTTTATTGACATGGTTGGATATAGATGATTTGGTTTCGTTTAGTGTTTTAGTTTATTTATAATTTATTAATAGAAAATAAATATCTCTTGAGAAAATTTTTCATTAGAAATATTTTCTATATTTTTGTATAATTATTTTCTATATAGATTTTTA